TAATCAAATCTGATTTACTTACCTTACAGTCATTATGTTTTCAAAGCAAACTCCCACGGGAGATGAACTCTCAAATTATTGGATTTAACTCTCTGCAAGAAAGAGAAAAGATTCTTTATAATGCACACCACATTGCTAAATAAATGTTCTCATCCTAGCATTCTGGTTTGAAACTTTTTGCAACTTAAAATTTCTATGAAAGTCTATCTCAGTGTAATCCTCTATTCGGCCTAGTAGTTCTAGAAAGTCTGTACTATGACTACTTGCACTGATATCTCTGCCACCCTCCATTCTGACTACCCAACTTTCTGGAATTAAATAAATTACCTGACAAGAATTGGATACAGTTTGTATTAACTGCTCAGCCCAGAGAATTTCCACAGGGAACATTCCTAAAGCCTGCAGAGCCCATATGAGACTTGCAAATCTCATTTTTCTGCATGCAAGTTAAGAAATAAACACTGCTTGTTTATATTTGTCTCCCAATTGCAATCACTTCATAGAAATTATACCATGGATTTTATTTTATTTTATTTTATTTATTTTTATTTTATTTTGAGACAGGGCCTTGCTCTGTCACTCAGGCTAGAGTGCAGTGGCATGACTCACTGCAGCCTCGACCTCCCAGTTTCAAGCAATCCTTCCACTTCAGCCTCCTGAGTAGCTGGGACTACAGGCACAAGCCACCTCGCCAGGTTAATTTTTTTATATTTTTGTGGAGACTGGATGGGAGGTTGGGGTAGGGGAACATCTCACTGTATTGCCCAGGCTGGTCTCGAACTCCTGGGCTCAAGCAATCCTCCTGCCTTGGCCTCTAAAAGTGCTGGAATTACAGGCACGATCCACCACACCTGCTAACTGTTGGTTAAATAATACTTTGTAATTCAGAAACAACAGACCCGTAAAATCCTCCTGCGGACAAAAACTGGCACAGAGCTGAGCGCAATGAATTCTCTAAGGAGAGAAAGTGGAACTTTCCATCCTTTAACACCCAGCCCAGGGCCTTGTATGAAGAGAAGTTCAATAAATAAAAGTTGGATTGTTGGAATCCTTTTTTTTTTTTTAGATGGAGTTTTGCTCTTGTTGCCCAGGCTGGAGCACAGTGGCGTGATCTCACCTCACCGCAACCTCCGCCTCCTAGGTTCAAGCAATTCTCCTGCCTCTACCCCCCGAGTAGCTGGGATTACAGGTGTGCACCACCATGCCCAGCTAATTTTTTGTACTTTTAGTAGAAACAGGGTTTCGTCATGTTGGCCAAGCTGGTCTCGAACTCCTGACCTCAGGTGATCCACTCGCCTCGGCCTCCTAAAGTGCTGGGATTACAGGCATGAGCCACCACACCCAGATGGATTCATTTTTTTAAGTGCTATTAGAGCTATTTATAGCCCACAGAGTAACTGAAATAGTACCCATCGTCAATCAGTATAATAAGTAAGGAATAGTATGGTCTATACAAGTAATTTTGTTTTGCTTTGGTTTTTTGTTTTTTGAGATGGAGTCTTGCACTGTCACCCAGGCTGGAGTACAGTGGTGCTGTCCCAGCTCACTGCAATCTCTGCTTCCTCAGTTCAAGTGATTCTCCTGCCTCAGCTTCCTGAGTAGCTGGGATTACAGGCAGGTGCTGCCACACACAGCTAATTTTTGTATTTTTAGTAGCAACGGGGTTTCACCACGTTGGCCAGGCTGGTCTCAAACTCCTGACCTCAAGTGATCTTTAGTAGAGACAGGTTTTCGCCATGTTGCCCAGGCTGGTCTCAAACTCCTGACCTCAAGTGATCCGCCCGCCTCGGCCTCCCAAAGTGCTGGGATTACAGGCGTGAGCCACCGTGCCCAGTTTATATAAGTAATTGTAAACAAAAAGGAAAAAATGGAGATAGTTTTTTCATGCATCTTAAACTTTGGTGCTTAAAGAAAAGCACCATTAAATTCTGCTCTCACACGAACACACACAAGATTACCACGTTTGCTCTGGGCTGCCGCGTATAGGAAGGACATATACATTCAATAAATATTCGTTGAACTTCCATTCTGTACACAAAGCACAAAGAAAGATTCGTTCACAGTCCGCGTGGGTACAGGAAAGCAGTTCCAGCCCTGCCTGCCAGGGGGCACCCCAGGCAAGCACATCTCAGTGGCTGCAAGAAAGTCAGCGAGTTGAGGCTGAGTCTCTCTCTACACCCAAGTGTTAGGTGTTCTAGGCTCAAAGAGAGACAATGACAATGCGGCCAATTCTCTCTTCACTGTGTCCCTTTCTTTGCTAGAAATGTTATTAGAATGTGGAAATGTGACCCGTCGATTGAGAATTCAGCACTAATCAGTTTGACATATGAGTATATCTACATAGACACATATTTCTCCCTGAAATTGTGCTAAACACAGTCTTCCTTGAAACTAAATGAGAAGGAAACAACTGTTACAACTAAACGTTCAGCCATAAGATTAACATCTTAGTTGTGTACCTAGAAATTGTACAGTATGACAAGTGTAAAGAAACTGCTAGCTTCTTAGTTCTGCTGGTCTTTACACGATACCGTTTTAAAAATTGTTTTATGGTAGTAAAATATACATAACCTTTAATTTACCATTTAATCTTTCTTAATGTGTACAGTTCTGTGGCATTAAGTATATTCACATTGTTATGCAATCATTACCATCATCTGCTTCCAAAACTATTTCTATTTTCCCAAACTAAAACTCCATACCTATGAAACTCTATCTTCCCATTTCCCACTGCCCCAGCTGCTGGTAACCACACTTCTACTTTCTGTCTCTATGATTTTGACTGCTGTAGGTAGCTCATGTAAGTGGAATCATACAGTATGTGTGACTTTTGTGACTGGCTTATTTCATTTAGCATAATGTATTCAAGGTTTATCCACGTTGTAGAATGTGATGTGGCTCTCCTTGCTTTTTAAGGCTGAATAATATTCCACTGTAGGTATGCAATACATTTTGCTTATCCATTCATCCACTGATGGACACCTTTTGGCTACAGTAAATAATGCTTGCATGAACATACGTGTAAAATATTTGTTTGAATTACATAATATAATTTAAAATCTATATTTTAATAAAAAATGTTAAATTATTACTATATTTCCATTTTTATCCTCAGAATACCAATAATAGCATTTGGCAAACATACTACAAATATTAACAATTTCTAGTGCTTTTGTGATCAACCAAAAAAAAAACCCAGAAACTATTCCTGTGCTTCTCAGAGAAAATGTTTTAAACGAGAAAAATACTCAAGTATGTTAAGACCTTCAAAGGTAGCATTTTCCAATTAAAAACAAGAAACTAAAGTCTCCATAACTACTACCTACTCCATACATACACCGCAAAGTTCCCAAAGGGAGAAGATATTTTAGATGCGCCTTTAGGAGCTTAGTTTTCCCTCCTTGGGATAACTTTAAATTCAGATCTCAGCAGAACAAGCGCATTCTTCAGGGCAAGCCGACTGCTAATCCGAGTAGATCTAAACGTTAATGAAGGCAACCGATGGAAGCTGCTCCTCAGAGACAGGAAAACTATCAGACTTTCCTTCTGCCACATTCCTGGAATAAACTTACTACTCAGGAAGGTGATTTGGGAACCGCTTCAGCTTGTAGAATGATCACCGAAATGCAGTCCACCGATATTTGTTAATATCCCAGACTGGCCAAGCCCCAATCCAGACCTCGGGGGACAGGGAGGGGACCCGCGGCCTGTGTAGACTGTGCCCGGACAACACACAAGGACGATGCCGCCCTCGCTCCGCGGCCCTCCGGGTGGGCGTCCCTCTGGAGCGTTTTGGTAAAACCACCCGAAGGGAACAGAAAGCGTTAACATCTCCGCTGGGCGCCAGCAAGCAAGTCAGGCCTCGCCCCGGCATCTCCAGGACCAGATGGAGCGAGGGGCCCGCGGGGACACCTTCCCGGTCACCTCGGGCCGGGCCGAGCCTCGAGCGCACGAAACAAGTTCTGTTTAAACAACAAGCGTCCGTGCGCCTGCCGGCTCCTCTGAGTGTCCGACCCGAAGCCGGACGGCGGCCGCTATTTACAGCCTCCCGCCGGCCGCGGCGCCGCTCCCCGACAGCACCACGCCGCGCCCGGCAGCGCTTCCGCGGGGACTCCCTGCGCCCGGCCCCCGGCCCGCCCCGCGCCAGCCGTCCGGACCCGCGTCCCCAGGCGGCTGCAGACGGGCGAGACCTAGGGCCCGATCGGCTCTGGGAGCCCCGGAGAGCAGCTGCCTCGCGCGGCCTGCGGAGCCCCGGACAGGCGCGAGCGGGGCGCGGGCTGGAGCATCTGCGTGCGGTGGGCGGCGGCCAAGCGGGTCGGGACGGCCCCAAGGGCCCTCGGCGCTTCCCTCGCCTCCCGCGCCAGCGTGCCCCGGAGTGTGTGGGCGGCAGGAAAGGGCTCCGCGTCCACACCTCGAGCGCCCGCGCAGCTGCGGGACGGGGATGCAGGCGCTAGGCTTGAGCGTGCGCGCGGGCTAAGGCGCGGAATGGGGCCGCGGGGGAGTGCGGTGGCTGCGCGTGCAGGGTACGGATGCGGGGGCGGTGGGTGTGCCGGGGCGGTCGGGTGTGGCGGCCGGGAGCGCGCGGGCGAGGCGGGGCTGTTTCCGAAGGCGGCGGGACGGTAGGTGTGCGGGGCGGTGGGAGGTGCGGGGCTGTGGCTGCGCTGGCAAGGGTGGGATGCGGGGGCGGATGGTGTGCGGGACGGTCGGGGTCGCGGGGCGGTGGAGTGTGGCGGGGACGGTCGGGTGCGGGGGCGGTCGGGGCCCGACAGTGGGTGTGGGGGGCGGGGGCGTAGGGTGCGGGGGGGTGCGGGGACGGTGGCAGGTGCCGGGGCGGTCGGGGGTGCGGGGCGGTGGGGTGCGCGGGCGGTGGGTGTGCCGGGGCGGTGGGTGTGCCGGGGCTGTGTGCGTGCCGGGAGGCGCGCGGGGCGGGGCTGTTCGGCGGCGGCGGGGGCGTGGCGCGGCGGCCTGGGCTGCGGCGTGGGGCCGCCGGGCGCAGCGCACACTGGGGCTGCAGGGATGGCGACCAGGGTGGGGAGGCCGGGCCGTGGTGCGGGGCGCACGCGTGAAGCGGCACCGCACGTGTGAAAGGAATTCTTTTCAGAGAGGCCGGGAGCCCTGCTCGGGAGGAACGCGCCCGGGTCGCCGCCGCGGCGGAGCGGGGTAAGGCGGGCCGGGCGTCCCGGAGGCCGGGCGCAGGGGCTGAGGGCAGCGCGGGGCGGGGACGGGCGGGTCGGCGGCGCCGCGGAGCTCCGGGGCGAGCTGGGACTGCCGAGCTGGGGAGCTGAGCCCCGGCACGTGTGCGGTTCCCAGCCCCCTAGGATTCTTTCAGGATTCTTTGGAAAGTTGTGGGGAGCTCGGGAAATTTGTGAGAAACTTTTGGAATAGTTGATCCTCCTGCTCCTTGGCTCCTGGAGGTCTGGGGAGCAGCGCCTGGTTTGGCTTCCCTTGATGGACAGTCCAAGGCCGAGTTTAACGTGTTTTCCTGGGTGGTGTGCCCCTCGGGGGAAGGAAGCCGGGCTGTCCCGGACCGTCAGGCTGTAGGGCTCCTAGCGATACCCAAATGCTTGGAAACTCTCAGCAGATGTCACCGCGCCAGCGTCCGCGCGCACCCAGCCGTCCGCGGGCATTCGGCATCGCCGTGCTCCCCAGAGTCGTGTTGGGCTGGTTTAGAAACGAGCTTGGCTCGCCTACATTCTTTTCAGAAACTTTTTAAACCTTTTATTTTTAAGAAACACTGTAGCTATTAATGCCACGACCAAATGTCTTGGCCTATATGTTTGTTATGACGTGTTCAAGTAGAAAGAATTTGCAGAGGAGCGGAAAAGCGCCGCCGGAGCCCCTTCTCGTAGGAGACTTGAGAAAACAAATGGCAGTGACGCGGCTGCATTTGCTTTGTTGCCGGCTCCAAACTAGTGAGCAAAATTCATCCTACCGTGTAGAGTTCTCGGCTCCTGAATATGTGACTGCGACTTTTAGAACTCCAGTTTTTATTTTATCAAGATGTCTCCAAAACATGCCGTTTACAAATGGTTCTATCCCAACAGCTGACAAGCGAATTACGGCTCTCATCACCCAGGGATTCAAAACCGTGGTGATTTATGATCTGCGCATCACTTCACTGGCGGTCCGTCCATGTGCTATGAAATGTATTGCAAGACAAACATTAAAAGATTAAAGAGGAAAAAAGAGGGATTTATTTTCCAAATATCACTGTGCGCAAAGTAGACATCAGCTAGTTTGGCGCAGGTTCCACCTGCTCAGCAGTTTCGTTCATGTTGAGATAAGCATCTCATAAGGGCAACGCACGTGTTGCTGTAGTGGAAATTAATTCACAAAACTGTGCTACTCTAACAAATCAGACAACACTGTTTCTTAACCAGGAACTGTTAACTGGCTGAAAGCTCTTAAAAGAATGATGGGTAACAAAATTTTTTGCCAATAAGGAAAATATTTTTGACCCAATTTTCTTGAATGTTACTTACATTTTAACTTATTATATTCATTTCTCTTAGCTAAAATAACGTATACACACTATACATGTGAAACGAAAAATTATATACGTTTATCTCAGCCTTTTTGTTTGTTTTGAGACGGAGTCTCCTTCTGTCGCCCAGGCTGGAGTGCAGTGATGTGATCTGAGCTCACTGCAAGCTCTGCCTCCCGGGCTCACCCCATTCTCCTGCCTCAGCCTCCCGAGTAGCTGGGACTACAGGCGCCGCCACCACGCCGAGGAGGTGATAATGAAAGTTGTCATCTTTAATTTTTGGTTCCGTAATTGTTGGGATAATACTTGGTAATTCTCATGGATAACTGCGAGTGTGTGAGTTACTTTCTGCTTTGCTTTGTGTTTTTCTTTCTTTGGTTTGTTTGTTTTTTGTGGTGTTTTTGTGGTTTGTAGACGTGGTAGTGTTCGCTCTTGTAGTGAGGCATCACTAGTGCTTCGTCATGCGGGTGGCAACTCCGTTCCCGGTCAAGCGGAGTTCGTCGGGGCAGTTCGAGCTTCGCTTTGGTTGAGCGGTGCGCAGTACGAGGGATGGCGTGGGGGGTTTGGGCCACCGTACGGGCCTGCACGTGCGTATTACTTTTTTTGTATTTTGTAGTAGGTTGATCATGTTTTGTGATTGTTCATCTTCTATGTTGCAGTGTGCTGGTCGCCTCAAACTTCTGGACGCTGTGGCGAGGGTGTGATCTCATAGCTGTTGTCGTCTATGCTCGTTTCGCTTATAATTATGCGGTGGTGAAGCGGTTATGGCGCGCTCCACGCCCAGGTGATCGTTATATCTTGTCTTGCTTGTGTGTGAGATTTAATTTAAGGTGTTTGTTTATTTGGTTTTTTTTTTTGTAGACGTGGCTCGCTCTGGTCGCCGCAGGTGCTGAGTCAGTGGGGTCAGATTCTCAGCTCACCTGCAAGCTTCCGCCTCGCTGTGTTCGCCGTGCCATGTCTCCTGCCCTCAGCCTCCGAGTAGCTGGGACTACAGGCGCCCGCGTCACCTCGCCTCGACTAGTTTTTTTTGTATTTTTAGTTAGAGACGGGGTTCTCACCGTGTTAGCCAGGATGGTCTCCGATCTCCTGACCTCGTGATCCGCCGTCTCGGCCTCCCAAACTGCTGGGACTTACAGGCGTGAGCACCACCGCGCCGGTGCCTCGTTTTTTTAAAACTCCTCTGCATTCTCCAAAGTAATGGTTGATGTGAATAGTTTTCACACTCTTATGTGTTTTCTGTAATTTGAAGAATTGGTTTGCTTTAAATTTACTGTTAACAAACTAATGATACTAGACATAAAATTATTTAGCTTTTTACATTTAGACCACCTGATTACTCCATGATTATGTGCTTATTTATTCCTGAAACTCCTTTCCTGCTGACTTTAAATGAATCTTTTATTCTAGAACATAGAAGCAATTTATGGTTATGTATCAATAGAAGTAGAGTTGGTAAGAAAAGTGAAATCATACTAATACTATAGAAATTATTTCTGCAAAAAACTAGAAAATATTTTGACAGATGTAATTTTTATCAGTAATTCAGTGGAATATAAAATACCATAATTATCAGGTTGTGGGGTTTTGTTCAGTAAGCAAGAGTAAATAATACTGAATTTACTTTAAAAAAATAATTCTGCCAGGCGTGGTGGCTCATGCCTGTTATACTGGCACTTTTTGGGAGGCTGAGGCAGGGGGATCTCTTGAGCCCAGGAGTTTGAGACTAGCCCAGGCAATATAGTGAGATACAGTCACTCAAATATAAAAAAATATTAGCCCAATGTGGTGGTACATGCCTATAGTCCCAGCTACTCAGGAGGCTGAGGCAGGAGGATCATTTGAGCCCAAGAGATTGAGGTTTCAGTGAGCCATAATGTGACAGAAAAAAA